ACACACACATATATATATACACACACAGAAGCTCACGCGTGATATTAACAATAGAGCCATTTTCAAATGCAACAGCGTGTTGACCCAAAAGAAAGCAAGCAAAAAAAAAAACAGTCAGGCTTCAGTCCAGTTTTGAGGCGCTGATGACGACAAAATGCTGCGCTGATTTCTATGTCGATTGCTGCCTCTGCCGTTGTTGTTGTTGTTGTGTGAAATGCGGAAAGCTGTGCCGACTGCTCCAATCGCTCATTTGTTACAAAACAACAACAAACAATGAGAGGCAGGCCGGCTACAAAACACAAAAATTGTGAAAATGTGAAATGTAAATTTCTCGGCGAGCGCCAAAAACGCCAAATGTTGTACGTGAATTGCGGCAAAGCTGTTACGAAAAATCTCAAAGTTTCACTCGCCACACACACACACACATGCACACATAAATAAACACACATACACCCAAACCCATACCGAAACCAGTGCGGAAGTTATCCCACGGCATTTAGGCAAACTACTCCGCGCAACTCCATTTGTATCTTACGGATACTCATAGCTCTTGCTGGCTGATCGCGCTCTCGTAAATATATGTATGTACTTATATGTATATGTATGTACTCGTATATAGTTTTAGCTCTCGTTTCAACTAGTTTTTGAAATCACTTTTTAGTCACTCTAATCGAGCGGGCTACGATGTTGAAGGCAATCAAATCAATTAACACTTTCGTCATTGTGGCGGCCGCTGCCCCCGCTGCCCACGCCCGCTCGATTGCGCAGTCAGCTTTATACATACTCGTATATATATATACTACTTACCACTACTCGCTTGTATTATTTTTTCGCCCATTTTTGGAGCATTACTAAAGCAACAACTTTATTTGAATTTTGCGCGCTGCTTCGGACTGCTGCGGGCTGCTGCGGCATTTGCTTTTCATTTCAATTTTGTCATCTTGCTACTGATTATGGCGCTTCGTCATCATCATCACATCACCATCATGATTATCATCATCTATACCTTTACAAGCACTGTAGTTGCCCTCTCTGTCTGTTTTGCTTTGCCTTGCTTTTGTTGCCGCTTCAAAAATTGGGTTATTGTCAGTCAGCGTGCCCCGTTCTCCCCACATCCCGCTGGCGCCGCCGCCGCCGCTGCTGCTGCTGCTGTTTATTAAACTTTTATTTTATTTATGGAAATTAGTGTCAAGTAAATCATGTGCATGCGCTTTTATGTGTATCCAATATGCGTTAAATATATACCTACGGCTGTGTTTGTGTGTGTGTATATCTGTGTTGCAACAGTTGTGAAATGTTGAAATCGATCAATTGGTTGGCAACTTTGACCAACTTTTTGAAACATTTTTGTGAAAGTTGCGTTCATCAGCAGCGGCGATAGCAACAGCAACAGCATTCGTCTAAGATTTCTATCTTGTTTCAAGTGCCTTCAGTTCTTGAAATTGTATTTCCGCAAGTGCAGGAAGCTAGACGCGCGTCGCCTCGTCTCTTTCTAAACCGTAGAGGTCAGTGAACGGCAAATGGCCTTTACTGGCCAAAATAGGTGGCATATTTGGTAGAAAACAAAATACGAACTACACGTTCGTCGGCGTTATGCGTTTCTAGTACAGACGATCAACCCTATAAGGGTATCTCAATGTCAACAAATTATGTTAAACAACATTATTAAATACAATTGTTATTGTTATTCATAACAGATTTGTGGCGCTGCATCATTTATATAAATTAGTCTAAAAATATGGCCATACAAGTTGGTTAAAAAATTAAATGTTTTTGAGTTCTAAAATCATATTTCCTTAATTATTTATTTGGCTTCCTAAAGAAAGATAATACAGTATCAATGGAAACATGACTCTATAGCTCGCGTTTACAATTTCATTTAGTTCCCAGTTATTCCTATTACAAATACTTCAAAGTAGCTCAAGAAATTTAGAACTTTGCCCTTAAGCAGCATAGCTTAATGTGTTAATTGGTGTTTGCTTAGAGATTAACGAATTCTGGACATATTTGAACGTAAAGTACGTTTCTCAGCATCGGCTTTCAACACCTCTTAACACAACTTCAAAGTAAACACGAGTCAGTCTCAATGTACCGTTCAATTTTCACACCGAGACGATGGCCTCGCCGTCATGGTGATCAAATGAGTCGAGTCCATCAGACAAATTAATGCCCTTCTGCCGAACACATTTGAAACACAGGGAAATGGATGCTACCGTTATGACATTAGCAGCGAACGAAGGACATGCAAGAAACGATGGATGGGATGCTAATTTGCGCGCCATAAATGAAACGAATGAGTTCTGTTGAGTGGCGTGACAGCGCAACAGAAGGAAAGGAACGAAGTGGAGAGCGGAAGAGCGGGTGTGAAGTAATGTGCCGGCTGTTGCCAACTGGGTGGCCTGCGCTAGTCTTGACTGCCAGAGAGCAGCAACTACTGACGAATACGAGGACGACGGCAACGACAACATATGTTGCCGACAACGCCCCGCGCTGAATACAGACAGACAGACGCACACACACACACACACATATATATACTATGTATATGCATATGCGATAGAGTTGACAGTCAGCCACCCTCAACAAGCCACAAGATACAGATACGATGTATGTATGTATATGAGCAGGCAATGTCGTCGGCATAATTGTAACTAAAACAGCGCACACTTTGATGTAATGGGAGAGCAAGCAACAGCAGAAAAAGATGGAAATAATGTAGGAAGCGCAACGAAATCGAGTGCCAGATAAGAGACAACTAAGAGCAAATGCATAAGGCGGCGGCATGCTTGAAGTAAATGTTAAACTACTGTTCAATTGATAGACTTTTTCTATATCCGTGTGGATGAGTATGTGCGTGTGTGCGTTCGCATTTAACTGTAACTGATTACAATTTATCCGCTGTGCGGTCAGCGAGTGAGTGAACAGTGTGCCCTCGCCTGGCCTGGCCTGGCTTGGCCTCGTTCGCTTGGGTCGCGCCACTTCACATATCGAAACGCACACAGACACAAGTCGTCCTGTCAACACACACTCACTGCTCACTCGCACTGAGAATGCGGGACGGTCGGGTTAGGCTGGCAGAGAGACGGGTGGTCGACCACCAGCATGTAGATAAATTATCAGCTGCTCTGCTGTCTGAACAGACGGACTGGCCAAACAAGGGGAAACACAGTCCTCAGCGCGCCGAAGCTGGCATGCCCTTGATAATCTATTATGCACTATACAAAATTTTTAGAACGAATAGAGCTTCGATATTCAGGATTTGACTATGGAGCTTTTACTATGATGGAGTAAATGAAATCATTTTATGTGAACAGTAACTATCTTAATTTTGTTTAGTTTTACAATATGAATATATTCCTGAAACCCCTTCATTGAGTTTGTCACTTACACCATTTTATTCGAAAATCTTACCGAAACAGAGAATTTGGTCACCTTTTTATAATACTTATAACAATGAATCACTTCCTGATCTCTCTCTATATCTCTTCGAAATGTTATTGCCATTTATTCTTCATGAAATTCTTAAAAAAGTAGTAATATTTGTTTATTTTTATGCTTAAGATCATTCCAAATTGTAGAACTGAGACGACTGCACAGAATTTTAATTTGTCATTTTACAAAAGCCCAAGGAAGCATTTTAAATGAGAAATTATGATTTAGGTTTTGAGAACCTCGTGTGCAAATTATTTACCATAACTCAGGTTACTTGTACCACAAGAAATCAATTATATTTAAATAAATGCAAATATGTAATTGATTTCTTCTACACGACACAACCATTCGAATGAATTACTTACACCCTTCGCAAAGGGTATACAAACATGTTCACTGTTAGCAGTTCTGCTCACCATGAGCTCTTTGCTCTTTGCACTTGCGCTCAGTTTAATTTCAGTGTCGTCGTCGACAGAGCTCTGAGCAGAGAGCAACGCTTCCTTTCTCATGCGACGACCTCACACAAAGCGCGCACGCGGCCGCCACTTACCAAACGAAAGTGTAGGTGTGCATGAGTACTTTATGTGTGTGCGTGTCTGTGTACGTTTACGTTTCGCCACATTGCCGCTAGCAGCAAAGTCGACGTCGCTCTGCCTACATTACATGGTGAAACCCGCAGTCGGTATTCAGTCGGGTTGTTATTCAATAGAAACAAAATGAAAACTGAAACGCTGCGGGCTGCGCTGCCAGCGTCGACACCAAAACTGTGCACTCAAAACGGGCCAACGCAGCTCACTCAGCAGCAGCAGCTACAGCAGCAGCAACGTCTACGTCAGCTCCGTCGTTGTAGTCAGTTGTATTCGTTTCGTTGCTTGGCTCACTGCTCAGTTGTCGGCTACGCTTCGTTCAGTTCTGCGCAAACTTTCAAGCGAAGCGGTTCGTTCGAGTCCCCAAAAATAAACGCTGAAATAAAGCTAACAAAAAGCAGTGCAAGCAAGCAGCAGTAACAACAACAAACGCCGTGCAGCTTTTTTGTATAATATAAATAAATGTGTGTGCGTGTGTGTTAATGTGTGACAACACCAGCAACTCAGCAGCCAGAAAAGATTTTTGAATATTTCCAATTTTTATTCAAGTAGTTTGCCAATCAAAAATTTTAAAAAATATTAAGCGAAAATACAGTCGCGCTGAACGGTTAATTAAACAGCTTAATAATTTTAACATAAAAAAATGATTAATATAAATTCAAGCACTTAAATATGCACAAATACAAATTCTGTTTGTGAGCCAAAATTGTTTATACGCCCCGTTTGCCAAGCACAGTGTCACATTTTGTGGGCGTGTGTGTGGGTTTGTGTGTGTGTGTGTATTGTCTGAGTGTAAATGTGTGCGAAGGCAAAAAGTTGAAAGCCAAAAGCCAAATAAATTTTATAAAAGCTTGACAAAACAAAACATACTAAAAAAGAATCCAACGAATACAAATTGAAATAAATTATAAAATAAAGGAAAGCAAATAAGAGAAAAGAAAACACACCTACCAAAGAAAAGAAGAAAATTGGCCAACCACCAATTGGAAAATGTTTGAGCCTTATGTGAAAATCAAGAAAAAGCGAAATTATCATGAAATCTATCAAAATGAGAATGTCGATGTAAATTTGGGGCAATTGCCGTTGGCGTCGCCGTCGCAGCAACCACTACAACAGCAACAACAACAACAACAACAAGAGAACCAGCAACAGCAACTACAAAGTGATAATTGTTGCTGCCAAGGCGGCGATGAAAATGTTGTTGCTGCCGCACTAAATGCACGAACCAGCGGCAGCAACACCAGCACCAGCGTTGTGGCAACAGAAACTGCAGCAAGCAGCAGCAGCAGCAGCAATTGCAGTCGCCTGCAACAATTGATATCAACGCCTCCAGTATTGCTGCGCAGATCGTCGCTGTCAACGTCAACGTCAGCGTCAACGTCGCCGTCGCAACACCCACACGTGGTTAGCACGCCGCCGCCAACACCACCGCAACAGCAGCAACAACAACAACAACAGGCGGTCACAGCACCTTCTGTTTTGCAACAACATTTGGGTCACCTGAATTACGAAAGTGGAGCGAGTGCAGCAAGCAGCAGAAGTAGCACAGCAACACTGGCGCAACATTTGGCAACGCCAAGCAACATATTGCAGGCAGCATTCAATAGCAACAGCAACAATTTACAAAACATTTTAACACGCGCACAAAGTTCCTCAAACGCCGCCTCCACCTCCTCGTTGTCGTCGTCCAATAGCAACAGCAGTAGCAACAGCAACAACTGCAGCAGCGCCTGTGCGGGCAACACACACTACAACGGCAACAACACTAACAACCACAACAACAATAGCATTATAGCCAGTCGCCTATTTGGGGCTGCATCCTCCTCCTCATCATCGAGCAGTGCCTCCTCATCAACGTCATCAGCATCATCCTCGTCGTCCCACCTGCCGTCCCATCATCTGCATAGTCATCATTCCGCTCTGACCAATTCCATTACAAATCGCATAAATCAGTCCATACGGCGGCACCTCAATCAGCAACAGCATCCACATCCAACAACAAGCCCCTCAACGTCCTCGAGCTCATCTTCTTCGTCGTCGTCATCATCATCGTCATCGTCAACTTCGCCACCGCGTTTGCCTCACTATCAGCAACAACAATCGCCGCTGCATCAGCAACACTTTAATTGTGCGCATCCTGCACAACAACAACATCAACAACAACAACATCAGCAGCAGCAACACCACAGCAGCTACCAACAACAACAGCCCCATCATCAACATCATCACCACCACCACAGCAGCAGCAACAACAACAACAGCAATAGCAGCAGCAGCAGCAACAACAGTAATAACAACAATCAACAGCAGCAACAATCTCCTCTGTGCCTAGTATTATTAGTTAAATGCCCCAATTCTAAGGAATTTTGTAACGCCGCCGCAAATTTCTGTGATAAAAGGTAAATATCTTAACTGTAGCTAAAGACTATGAATAAAAGTTATAAAACGCCAGAAAAAAATAGTTATGCCTCAGTCGCTTGGAAAAAGAAACTATGGAGCTTTATTACACAACAAGTGATTTGACAATAAAATAATAAAAATAATTTAATAGTTTTTAAACACGACGTATGGGAGTGTAGGTTTATATTTCACCAAAAAGTAGAAAATACTCCCATTGCTCTTTTTCAAATTAAATGATGTACATTTTAAATGAAGAAATTATTGAAGTGTATTTGAAATTTCCCATCAACTCCTATCCAGATAAAGATATTGCAATATATAACACACATATTATATTAATATTCAACTTGGAAAACTTGATAAATCTTTGGCTTACGTTTATTTAAACAATTTAAAAAGATTGCTTTTCGTTGTAAAAGAATTGGGAGCTATTATGTCCAGGACTGCTTTACTTGACTTCTTATATAGGAACAAACGAATTTAAGTGAAGTTACAATCAATTACAATTATTAGTTATTCTGGCGGAAAATCTAGATTTGTTTATATATAGTAGTAATCCCGAAATCTTTAAAGAAACTATTGACAATAATTATAGATACTATCGGTAGTGACATCGTTAGTTCGACATCACTTCAATCTCGCTTTCCTCAACAGTTTTGATGTAAGACTTCGTGAATTGCTGGTCCACATTTTAGAAGGCATTATCCCTAGTTTGTGAAAATCTATTTCTAAGTGTTTCCGAAAACGTTCTTGTCTTGAAAAAGTTTGAAGTGTTTGAAGTTTGAAGTATTTACATCTTCTGGCTGTTGTTTCCATTTCGATGACTAGAATGGTTTCAATGTGCCCTACACTGTGTGTGTGTGTGTGTGTGTGTGTGTGTGTGTGTGTGTGTGTGTGTGGTGGTGTGCGTGTGTGTGTGTGCCAGTTTAGTTGCCAACCTCGACGTAACCTAGATGGTTTTTATAGATGACCTTACTTGCGTAAGTAATTGGTTTTCAGTAGTTGGTGTGACTGTGTGTGTGTGTAATTGCCAGTTGATGATTTGTTGACCGATTAAGCACCACCTGCACCACCAGCCCCACAGCACCGCCTAGCAACACTTTGAACCACTGAACCATAACATAAATTTCATGCTTAGCATACAGAAAACAGGGAAAAGGTAAATAAATAAGTGGGCATGAAAAGCGATGCCGTAAACAAAACTTGAGTAATTAAATGGGTCCCCCACTATACATATGTATGTGCGGGTGTATAACGTGCACATATCGTTGTGTATGTGACCAAAAAAAAAAAAAAAATTGAAATGAAAATAAAACTAAAAGTGAGCCCAGCAGCTCAAAAGTGGGCGCCGAGTTAACCTCAAAAAGTTTGTAAACAAAAGCGAGAAAATAAAAACACAAAAGATTTTATGCTGATGCGTCAATCATTTCAGTTAATTAATTGCGCAAATGCTGTGTGTTTGTTTGTTTATTTGTTTGCTGGAGTGTGTGGGTGTAGCGACGCTTTCGGCCAAGTTTGTGGGTCAACAAACATGCCGCACTCCCAACCCAGCCCAACCGAACAGAACCGAACCGAAACTCTTTTGAAACTTTCTTCTCAGCAATGACAACCCGCTCGGTCGGGGTCACTTATGGGGCAGTCGCAGTCGTTTGGCATTGTCCAATAAAAAATTGAGCACATGGCTATATAAATACTATATGTATACACACATATATACTATATTTTTTTTATTATCATTCTTGGCCATGTGCTAGTAATTTGCTTTCTTTCTCCTCTTCTTCTTCTTCTTGTTCTTTGCATTTCAATAATGCGACTCTTGCACTTGTTGCTCCTCATTTTCACTTAATTGGCCTTCGTTCGTGCTGTGGCGTGGCGCGGCGAGTCTGGGCCTGAGTCTGTTGGCCTCTCAATATGCCCGCTGTTGCTGCTGATAGTCCAAAAAAAAAAGTATATTATATATTTATATTCCCAATATATGCATTTGCGAACCTTTGTCCGGCATCGTCTGCGGCCTGACTCACGGAACGCTCTTTATCAGAATGGCCGTACACGCGTCGGTTGGCTGACGGCGACGTTTCCATTTCCATATGAGCGCTACACAGTGGTACGAAACTGCAAGCATGGGTGAGACAAGCAAATAATCTGCACAGAAATTCGTTCATGGTAAATCCCTTAAATGCAAATAGGAAACGACAACAAAGCTAGATTAAGTTTTATTTAATTTTATGCAGTTGTGTAGATTTACAAGAAAATTCAAATTGTTCTTTAAAGCTCACTCTAATGATTAAGAAAACAGGGAAACACCACATTATTTTAAATGGCTCGACAAGCTTCAAAGTTCTTCAATAGCTCCGAGCTGCTCACCCTTTCCTTGTCAGTACAGGCTTACAGGCTTAACTTAACGAGGCCGCTGCTGATTACAGCAACCCTGAAAAAACGTTCATATGTATTCCTCCAATCAATAAATTATATTTTTTATCTATTGAGCCATAGAATTTCTCAGGGTAACAAGAATTAAACTTGTCCTTTTACTTTTCGCATTTTTATTTGATAAGTCCTATAAAGATTATTTAAAGAAATAAAGAATTGCTAAAAACTAGGGCCGGCTTTCCATTAAAAATGAAATGTAAATTAAATTGCCAAAGAACACAGACTGGTTTACCCTTTTAACCCTTAGAAGGGTATAAAATTTCGCTGCACAACATTAACGCCGTTTCAGCTAAAGACAAATGTTCTTAAAGAACTTGGGGGCGGCCCAAAGGAGGTCTTAGAAAGTAACGACTGATTTTGAATATATTTTGGATTCACGAACCTTTTGCAATATCAGTACTAAGCCAGCGATGGTTCTATCGATAAAATCTTCACTATCGTTGGTTGTCTTCACTATCGATAGTACTTATCTAGAAATATGTGCTCACACCACTGTGCCACCACAATGGGCGCTTTGCAATTGCTCATATATTTGCCTGTCCATACAATCCTGTTGTTGTTGCTGCTTTTGGTGTTCTTGTATTATTTATGCGCTGGCTGGCGTGCTGGCTTGCTTGGCCACGGTTTTTGCTCTCCTTTTGTTTGCTGTTGTCGTTTTTGTGCGACGGAAGTTTGCTTCGCTGCACGTCTGAAAGGGCCGAACGAACAGCAGCACAGAGCAACATTAACAGCAACAGTCATCGCATGTTGCCAGCAGTGAATAGTTATGTTGCTTATGTAATGGACAGGCTAAACCACAAAATTAATCAATCCATTTGCTGCTTTGGGGCGCTTTTACTTTGCATTGTTGGTGCTGGTTGACACCTTTTCAACTTTCGAAATTGCAACAATCATGGCAACAACTATAGCTATAGTTTAGGCTCCAAATTGCAACATTGATGAGCTTAAATGAAATATTGCAGCAACAATAATGCTGAATTCGTTAATTCGCAACAATGTTTAAATATAAAAGTACTAATTATCACGAATTTATGTTTATCCAAATTGCAACATTGATGAGATTGATTAAATTTTGCAGCTACAAATAATTATAATTATTGTAATTTATTCAAAACTTTAAGCTTTACTCAATTTTATTCGAATATCACTTTAGCTAGATTTAGCTAGATTTGCCAACTCCCCTCTTTTTCTAATCACACAAATCCCCAACTAGATAAAGAAAAATACAAATAATAATAAATTGCCCCCCACTGAGTAACGCGTACCTTTCGAATTCTTTTTTTCGAAACATCTTCGCCACACTTTTATATGCGAAGCTGTAATAAAAATTTGCAATACGTACACACACGACTGGGAGTCATTGGTCTTTGTTGTTATTGCTGCAATAACTTTCCATTTCTTATATATTAATATAACCAATTTATTGTTGGTTTTTTTTTTTTGTACATATGTAAAATGTGTGTGTATTTGTTGAGCACCTTGTAAACTTTCAAAAATTCAAATTAAAATGCGCACACGAGATGGCAAATTAAATTAATTAACATTGTCGCTCATTGATGTTGCTGTAAACATTGTTGCCAATGCGTTGTCAACAGCTGCCCGTCTCTAGCAATTTTGTTGCCACTGTGCTGCTGTTGACCGATGTGTGTCATATTAATGGCATGTGAGTGGTTTTTGGGTTGCCTGCACTCCCAATGCACAAAACACTGAAGAGGCGAGTCGGTAGAGTTGTCAGCATATTGAAATTATAAAGTTACAGTTTTCACTTTGTTAAATGCGGGCATTTCTTTCACCCAATAATCATAAACTGTGTGTGCTGTGTGCAAACAAATAAAAGAGTAAGAGCGACCAGCAACAAAACCAACCGCCTCTTTCACTCAACCCACATTTTATTTAGAACAAATCTCTTAGAAATCGAGCAAAGTAAACACGAAAATTTCGAAGCCAATAAAAGTAGAAGCAACGATCTCTTAAGCCAAATACAAATTCAAGCAGCACCAACAACAACAGCAACATCTGCAACAAAGAAAAAGCAGTAGAAATCCAAGACCCTCACTCAAATGCTACAACAATGAGATAAAGGAAAAAACGACGACGCGACGACAGAAAAGAAAGCACGACAAAAACAAAATGTGAAAACGCATGAAAGCCAATTTCTTGTAGTCGTTTCTATCTTTCGTTTTTTCATACGCATATTGTACGCTCGTTCGTCGCACAATTTGTTTAGAAAGTGCAGAGAAATGGTAAAAGCGGCAAAATGCAAACAAGCAGCAGCACTACCAACAACAACAACAACAACATTAGCAGTCAGTTTGGCCCAAAACGTTTGGCCAGCACAGTGTGAAAATTGGGCACAACATGTTTATTAATTTATTGATTTCATTTGTGATAATCATCTTTATAATGTTGATAATGATCGACGCACCAAACTTTATTGCTTGTGAAAACCTCAAGAGCCAATTACAACAAAAACAATAACAACAATAATAAGCAGCGTATGCTGTTAGCCACGCGCTAAAATACAACGTGCTGTTAAAAGAGCGCATGCGCGAGAGTGCAATTGCTGAGA